ATTGGTCCTCATGTCTATTTTTGTGCCAATGCCATGTTGTTTTGATTATCACAGCTTTGTAATATATTCTGGGATCAGGAAGTAAAATGCCACCTACTCCTGTCTTCTTGTACAGGTTGACTTTAGCAAAACAGGATCTTTGATGGTTCTAGATAAAATCTATGACTGTCTTTTCTAGGTCTGTGAAAAAATGTCTCTTGTAATTTTATAGGGATTGCATTAAACATGTAGATTAGTTTGGGGAGAATTGACATTTGGATTAAATTGATTCTGCCAATCCAGGAACATGGGATGTCCTTCCACTTTTTAGTATCCTTTTCAATTTTCTTTTTAAAGTTTTCATAGTTTTCTTTGTAGAGGTCTTTGACTTACTTGGTTAGTTTTATTTCTAAGTATCTTTTGCCTCTTGTGGCTATGGTAAACAAAATTACCTTCTTAGTTCTGTCTCTGTCTGCTTGTTGTTTGTATATAGAAATGCTATGTATTTTTTTTTTTTGAGAGGTTTTTGCCATAGGGCGCATCCGCTCACCAGCCAGAGAGAGACAGAGAGACAGAAAGCGAGAAATCATCCCCCAGGGGAGATGGCCACACTGCAATACTTTCTCCTCCATTCTCCTCTTGGGATCTTGGGCACGCATGCACATGCACCCTGCATGAGTTTTAAGCCATTGGGTCTGGGACGTGAACTGTGGTCAACTATGTGGGAGTCCAGCGACATAGCCATTATGCTAACTGCTGTTCCCATGTTATGTATTTTTTTAGGTTAACTTTGTATTCTGCCTCTTTACTGTATGTATTTATTACTTCAAGAAGATTTTTTATGGATACTATTGGGTCTTTTATGTATACAGATATGTCATTTGGAAACAGAGATAATTTCAGCTCTTCTTTTCCTAGTGTTATTGCCTTTTATTTTATTTTCTTATCTGATCACATTGGCTAGAACTTCCAGTACTATATTGAATAAGCAGAGCAAGTGGGCAGCCTTGTCTTGTACCAGTTTTTAGTGGAAAAGCATTCAACTTTTCCCTATTCCAGCTAATGTTAGCTGTAGGTTTTTCATAAATGGCTTTTATTATGCTTAGAAATGGTTCTTCTATGCGAATTTTACTGAGTCTTGATCATAAGGGCATGTCATATTTTGTTGAATGCTTTTTCCACATCAATTGAAATAATCGTATGCTTTTTACCTTTCTTTCTGTTGGTATTGTGTATTGTATTTATGCTTTTGCATATGTTGAACCACCTTTGCATCCCGGGAATAAAGCCTACCTGTTCGTGATGAATAACTTTTTTTTATATGTTGTTGAATACGGTTAGCAAGTATCTTGTTGAGCATTTTTGCATCTATATTCATCAGGGATATAGGTCTGTAGTCTTCCTTTTTTGTCGTATCCTTAACCATTTTGGAAATGATGTTTATGGAGGATTCATACAATGAATTTGGAAGGATTCCTTTTTTTGGATCTCTAGAAACAGTGTGAGTAGAATGAAGGTTATCTCTTCTTTAAAAGTTTTGTAAAATTTGAAAATGAAGCCATCAGGGCCTGGACTTTTCTTTGTTGGGATGTTATTTATTACTGATTCAATCTCATTGCTTGTTATAGATCTATTCAGGATTTCTATGTATTCCTGAGTCAATATTGGTAGATTATATGTGTCCAGGGATTTGTCCATCTCATCCTGGTTTTCTTCTGTATTGGCATAGACTCGCTCATAGTATCCTCTAATGATGTTTTGTATTTCTGTTATGTCTGTTGTAATGTTTCCTGGTTTGTTGTGAATTCGACTTATCTGGTTCCTATCTCTCTTCTTAATTAGTCTGGCTATTGGTGCGTCAATCTTGTTTGTTTTTTAAAGAACCAGCTTTCACTTTCATTTATTTTCTGTATAGTTTGCTTATTTTCTATTTCATTTATGTCTGCTCAAATCTTTATTATTTCTTTTCTCAAAAAAGTCCTAAAGATTATAGAAACTCATGTCCTCATTGTTATTAGTCTCCATGAATGTTTTTATTTCAGTCTTAATTTCTTCAGTAGTTACATAGTCACTCAGGAGTAGGCTATTTAGTTTTCATGTATTTGTGTATTTTTGAGAATTTCTCATGAAATTAAAATCAAGTTTAATTCCATCATGGTCAGAGAAGATGTTGGATAAAGTTTCTATGCCATTAAATCTGTAAAAGCTTTATTTGTTCCATATCGTGTGGTTAATCATTGAAAAGGTTCCATGTGGGGGGTGAGAAAAAAACTGTATCTCGTGGGTTTTGTGTGGAAAGTTCTATAGATGTTTGTAAGTCTATTTGATTTATGATATCATTTAGATCCTTTTCCTCTTCACTTATTTTTTGTCTAGATGATCTGTCCAGAGGAGATAGCGGGGCATTGAGGTCTCCAACAATTACTGTGTTGCAGTCTATCTCTCCTTTTAGGTATTACAGTGTTTCTTTCACATATTTGGGTGCTCCTGTTTTAGGTACATAGACATTCATTAGCATTATATCTTCTTGATGGATTAACCCTTTTACTATAACATAGTGCCTTTCTTTGTCTCTTAAACAGTTTTTGTTTTAAAGTTTATCTTGTCAGAAATTAGTATCACTGGGACCAACAGTTAGTGTAATGGCTATGTCGCTGGACTCCCACATAGTCGACCATGGTTCAAGTCTTGGACCCAGTGGCTTAAACTCACTCCGGGCACGTGTGCATGCATGTGTGCCCAAGATCCCGAGAGGAGAATGGAGGAGAACGGATTGCAGCG